CACGTGCGCACACCCACCTCCTGGGAAGCTGTCATTGGGAATCAGTAGGAACTTGGGCGAGTGAACCCTCTTCCTTGGTCTGTATTCCCACATCTGAAAAATGAGCGGGTTGTAGTGGATAATTTCCAGAAGGCTCCCCAGCTCTAGAATTCTGTGTCCTATGATTTTCTGGGCTATTTAGAAGTGGTGTGACAATTACCCTTTGCCAAGTGAATGCCATTTGAATAGCCACGGGCTGTCTGCTTGGAGGAATCGTATGGTAAATGCTATTGCAAAGATGAAGAGGTTCCTTGTACTGTGTCTTTTGTGTAGATTTTCTTGAAGGCTTTTCTTAAAGAGAATACCTACAGTTCTTTGGCTTATGTGGCCTGAAGAATCTCAACACCAGATTAGCTACCTCACTCCATCTTCTAACAGCCTCACAAAGTGGACAGGACACACGACAAAAAGAGACCTGTCCAACTTTATACCCATGTTTCTGGGCACAGGATGGGACAGGAAACCCCACCAGCTGAGCTCCCTGCCCTGCCTCGTACCCCTGGGCAGAGACAAGAAATGAGCCCAAGCTGAGGAAAGAGCTCTGGCCTCTGAGGCCTGGTGAAGTGTCCGGCGGGCTCAGGACCAGGCTGGCGGGCAGGGGCAGGCACAGCAATGTCATTCTCTTTCCCCAGTTATGTCAGAGGGGCTTCCATTTTGGCTAGGTCAGAAGCTTACCATCAGCAGACCCAAAGAGGGCCCTGCAGCCTCGGCGTTGAGCGATGTGAAGAGGCAGCCCCTTCCCAGGGTAGGGGACATCTGAATTCCCTCGCAGGAAGTCCAATGAGCTGTACACAGGGTTCTTCCCACTTCTCTCAGGAGTGGAGGGATTCCAACTAAGTGCTAAGCTGTCCCTGAACAGCTGCCACCAGCCTGGGATCCCAAGCCTGGAAGCCCCAACCCTCAGAATTGCTCCTGCCAGCTCTGGCTGCTGGAGAAAGAGCCCCCGAGCCAGACATCACTCTGAGGACACAAGCTGGCCTGGGGGCTCCCCTGGCAGAGAGCCCGAAGCCAGGGGCTGGGGCCATTTCCCTTCAGCTCAACAGTCTGGATAGAGTGTCCCCAGTGCTGGGCTGGGTCCTGGAGGTAGAGATGAGCATGGTGCAGTCCCCACCCTTGAGGGGCTCATCGCCCGGTGGGGGCAACACACACACAGACCCTGGAGCACAACTTGGCTCCATCTAGGAAAGCAGGGAAAGCTTCTCAACAGAGGTGACGCCTGAGGATGGACAGGGGTTGGTGCTCCAGCCCTCCCCGTCCAGGGGAATTCTAGCCATGTGGAGTCAGTCCCCTTCCCCTCTCGGCTCCCAAAGGGCAGCGGTATCAGAACCGCGGCCCCTCCGCTCCCTTCACGCACAGCTTCCCGAGGAAAACGCTTCTCCAGCAGCCTCCACGCCGTCTGCCTCTCCCTGACTGAGTGCCCTGCCTCCTCCAGGCCCACGGCGACCCCCTGAGGACCCACCCAGGCATGCCAAGCTCCCCTTCCTGGGTGACCACACTGCCATCTGGTGCCTTTGTGTCCTTCAGACAGATACTCCCCTCCTCTCTCTCAGGCCTGGCTTATGCAAGTCTGCTCCTCCTGCCTCAGAGTCCTGCCCCGAGCAGTGCCATGCCAGGAACACCCCAGTCCCCTGACCCCATCCCATGGAACTTTCTCTCCAGCTCTGAGGGTTCTTGTTCCCAAAGCCTTCCTGCAGTTCCCTGACCCCAATTCAAGATCCCCCATCATGGACATTGCGGTCCCTAATCTGTGTCTCCCCCTACACCCTACAACTCATTCAGCCTCCGCCACCCCACACTGACCCTTTCATTTTAAAACCCCCATATGAAAACCCCACCTGCTTCAGGAACTTTCCCAGACCACCCCTTCCAAATCTTACCACTCTTTTACATATGCCTCCCTCTCCCCCACCCAGTGGCACTTGGGCTTCAGTTTTTATTACTGTGACTGACACTCACAAACATTAGCAGAATCCCGATGCTTGGGCTGCCTTAACCCACTCAGGGGCTTTATCAATCATCATAGCTACTACTTCTTCAGCTCTGACCATGAGGTGGGCCCAATGCCAAGCCCATGACATATGTTTTTGGTTTTTTGGTGGTCGTTTTTCGCTAGTAATTTAAATTTTATTTCATTTAACTTAATTGCATTTCCACTGCTGCAGGCAGCCTGACAAGAAAGGGCTACATAACATTCTTTCTCTGAAATGTAGTGTCTCCATGCCATGTTCTCTCTCATCTTCAGGGTAGGCTGCAAGGTAGGGCTGTTATCACTTTATAGATGAGGAAATTGAGGCTCAAAGAGGTTCTCTGTCTTGTCCATGGTCACACAGATCCGACCCAGCATCTGAGTTTTCCACCACACCAAGCTGCCTTTCTTTTGCCCAGAATTCACCCTTTGAATGACTATCAGATCAACAGCACTAAATCAGCCTGTCCTTTTGGCAGCTGAGGGAACATGGAACCCCAGAAATCTTACAACAGTGGAACTAGAGGTCCCTACCACTCTTACTCTATCTCACAGATAGGGACACTGAGGCTCAGAGGTACGACTTGCCATGTTAGTTCAGCCAAGCGGATATCAAACCAAAAAGCACTAAAAAGGAGTCTATGTATTGTCAGCCCCTAGGTTTAATGCTCATTAGGTTACAGGCTGCACGAACCACCCTTATTAGAAGGTATTAGAAGGTAAGCATCTCCAAGGGGACCTGTCTGGGGATAATCCCTTCGTTACAGACACTCACACTATAAACCTATGTTGCTTTGAATCAAATCGCAAAACTCCAGCAGTTTGGACAGATATTTCAGGCAGCTACAGCTTTGGAAGGGCAGATGGAGCTGGCTTTACCGAGTCCCTAGAATACGGAGTAAAATAAAATTCATCACAGCTGCTAAACACCAGCCCTGCACCCCTCAGCCTCTTCTGGCCTCAATGTATGATCAGCAGCAGCAGCAGCAGCAGCAGCAGCAGCAGCAGCAGCAGCAGCAGCAGCAGCAGCAGCAGCAGCAGCAGCAGCAGCAGCAGCAGCAGCAGCAGCAGCAGCAGCAGCAGCAGCAGCAGCAGCAGCAGCAGCAGCAGCAGCAGCAGCAGCAGCAGCAGCAGCAGCAGCAGCAGCAGCAGCAGCAGCAGCAGCAGCAGCAGCAGCAGCAGCAGCAGCAGCAGCAGCAGCAGCAGCAGCAGCAGCAGCAGCAGCAGCAGCAGCAGCAGCAGCAGCAGCAGCAGCAGCAGCAGCAGCAGCAGCGCGGCGGCGGCAGTAGCAGCAGCAGCAGCAGCAGCAGCAGCAGCAGCAGCAGCAGCAGCAGCAGCAGCAGCAGCATCCCCCCCTTGCTACTTTACATTTTTCAAAGCACTTCCCTGTATTACTGCATGTTGTAATAGAATTTTAGGGATTGGTCATTTGGGGCTCAGAAAGGCCATGTGACTTGCTGGTTGAGGCTGGAGCTGGGTTATGGTCATTTTTGTTCAGCACGTATTAAGCTCCCACAATGTGCCAGGAAAGACAGTTCCAGCTTTGCCACCAGCAGTGGGCTGGGGTTGGAGGTTTCCCCACCGGTGCTCCCCTTAGGGGGTCTTTTCCCATAGTCCCTACCTCAAAGAAAGGGTGGCTCAGCCTCTTGAAGCTCAGAAGCACTAGGAACCTCTCTTTCCCAACACAGCCCTGCTCGGGCGGGGCTCAGAGTCCCCCCGAGAAAAGGCTGCCTGTGAAGAAGACCCACCGTGAAGTCGGGCTGCCTCAAGAGCAGGGCTGAGGAGGGCCACCCACTCCAGCATCTTCTCATGCCTGCAGTCTGTGCAAACCTGCAGGCACTGCCATCCTCCAAGGTGTTCCCACCTTTCCCCACACTGTGCCCCCTCTTCCAGGGGCACACACGCTTCCCCACTGACAGAGTCCTTCGTTTCAGGCCAGGCTGCTGGAGCCTGGGCTGCCCACTGGAGAATGCCCAAGCTTGCAAGATCTGAGCGCTGGCCACCCCTCACCACCCAAGGTTCCCATGGTGCACAGGAAAGACTGTACTGCCATCTCACCTTCTCCTCTTCAAGAGTCTAGTCCCAAACCGCCAGCACCTGCCAGCAGCAGAGTCCTTTTCCTGTCTGGGCTGCCACCGCAGTCCTCCTGGCCCTAGGTAGGAGCACCATCTTTGCTCTTTCTCCCTGCAGGCACGTGCTCAGGTAGGCAAGAGAGAATAAGAAATAAGGTTCTCTCCTGGGGCTGAGTCTCCAGCTGTTCCTAGGGACTTTGGGACACCTGCTCTGGTTGGGTTTGCAACTACTGCCAGTCCCCCAAAGAGAGAAAGTAACATTCCACCTTTGGAAGGAACATGGTGGAGTGTTTCTAAGGTGCAGCTCTCTTTTTAATGAGAAACAGGTGCAGTTTCTAAGATGTTTCGAAGATGCAGCCAAATCCTGTTTCATGTGAGAGAAGTTCCTGTTCGTACAAAGGCGGGGGTGGGGGTGGGGGGTGTCTCACCATGCCGGCAATGCACTGAGAAAGGATCTGTTCCTTTGTCGACACGGAGGCAGGTACCCCACTCAGCCTCGTGACTCTGGGACTGTGGCAGGTCCACTTACTCCCCTCTAATTGCCCCAGTACGGGCTCAAGTGGGTTGAACCTGCACAATGATTGGAAAAACCTCTCTGCGAACTGGTGAGCACATCGCCCGCGTGGGTTGTTACTGGAGGCTTGTCACCTGCTTCAGGGACTTTCTCGTGAGCTCTCAGCCTCCGCTTTGCCTGGAATTAACGACTACACAATACTGTCCCTCATCCTCTCCAAGACGCAAAAAAAAAGGTGTCATCAGACCCTGGGGGACGCGCGGAAGCATGGAGCCTGGCGGCGCCCTAAGTTTCTTCTTTCTCCGCCAGCCCGTTCCGCGCCGATGCGCCCCGGTTTGCCCCGGCGCAATCCACCGCCCGCGCCACCCGAGTGGAGACCCGGGACTAAAACCCGCTCAGAGCCCGGCACCTGCGGGCCTCTCGCGCTTGAATGGTACAAGGTCATGGCTCCGCGTGTGGCCCCGGCGGTAGAGAGGCTGCTCCGGCTCGAACCACATGGCACGGCGGACTTCCCAGCAAACCAGCCTAGCCGGGGGCGCGCGGGCACGGGGAGGGTCCCGGCGGAGTCCGGGTCGGCCACTCACCATACTGCAAGGGCGGCGACGACGACGACGGCGGCGACAGCAGCAGCAGCAGCGCCGAGAGAGCCAGTGGGGAGCGCATAGTGTCCTCGCCTTGGGGTCTGGAGCAGGTGTCTGCGGGGCTGGCGGAGGGTCCTTGCGTCAAGGCGGCAGGAGCGTAGGCGCCGCTGGGGGAGGCCTGGCGGTGGCCCGGGGCTCCCGAGTCGGCCCCGGAGCCGCCGGGGCTGAGAGCGTGTGGGCGCCGGCCCCGCGCACAGGTGTCGCCTGCAGGGCTTCTTGGGGGATCCGGCGGGATGCCCCACACCCCCGAGGCCCGAGGACGCGCCAATCGCAAGCGAGGCGGACCCCAACCTTGCGCGTTCGCTAATGACCTTCGCAGGCCTCCCCGGCCACAGCGCGTCCTGCAGCAGCGCCCGAGAAGCACGTCTCCCACCTGGCAGGTGCAACCCGCGCGACTTCCGAGCACGTCTGGGACGCGCTGGGCCACCAGGACCCATTGGTTGCTTAACCTTTCCAAGCCTAGGCTCGTCACTGTGAGATGGAGATGCTGGGTAAAATAAAGACAAAATATGCATGGATCGATATGTGCCAGTCTGTGTTCTAAGTGCTTTACACATATTAATCCATTTGCTCTTCGCGACAGTCGTATTCTAAGCCTCGTTTTGCAGACAGGTAAATTGAGTCAAAAAGGGGCTAAGAAACTTGGTCAAGATCACATAACAGGTAAGTGGGAGACCTGCCTCTGAGAGTAGACAAATACTTTGCACAGTGCCTGCCGTGTAGTAACTGTTCAATAAGTATTAGTTATTCATGATCTTGCTCTATGAAGAACAGCAAAAAGATTTAGGGCTTTGGACTCAAAACGTAGCTGTGCCGTGCTAGTCTACTAGCTGTAAATACCTGGGCGAGTTCTCTGTGCCTCAGTTCCATTCATCTGTAAAACAGGGATCACACGACCTGCCTCCGAGGTTGCTGGCAGTTTGAGTATGGTAATACAGGAAGAGCACTTAGCCCAGGGCCAGGACCACATAAAGGAGGAGAGAAATTTGCAGCTTGGAGCTGGGGGGTGGGAGTTGGAGAATTCCATGAACTGTTTACCTGGTGAAAGAACAAAGAAGCCACCACCATCCCCCCCCCACCTTTTTTTTTTTTTTTTTGCATAAGCTTCTTGGGGATGCACACCCTGGAGCCCCTGCAGAGGAGGGACTTCAGCGGCGCCGGATGCTGACCTGGACAGGGAGGGGTGACTAACCCTGGTTGGGGGAAGGGGTGGCGTGGATCTGGCTCACGTGACTTCTGGGTTGCTAATCTGGAGTCTTTCTGCCAGATGGAGCTGGGGACTCCATGCAGGTCCCGGAGAGCTTGGCCTCCGTGAGCCCCTCAAGCCGGCTGCACACATACGCTGCCTGCAGGGCACAGCGTCCGTGGAGTCGCGAAGGAAGCGCTGGAGCCCTGGCTGAGGTTCCGCGGCAGCCGGCCTCGAGCTTGGGAAAGGCTGACGGAGCAGTTTTCCTCGGGAAGTTTCTGCAGGATCGTTCTGGCCCCCTTTTCCACGCCGCGTACGGGAAAACAGAGGGTGTTCCGTATGAATACTCTGGGAAGTGTGTGTGACTGGCTTTGATGTTTTTTTTAGTACTGTTCTCCTGACATCCATGTCAACAAAAGGCTTGTTTCTCTTCTAAAACCAAGCAATACGCTTAGAAAACTGGGATTTTAAAAATGTGTGTTGTATGTTCTCTGATTTAAACAGTGTTTCTGCACTCAATGAATCAATTTCTTTGAAAACTTAATCATGTTAACTTTGTAAACGGAGAGCGTATATTTCAAAGCTTGGGGAATTTTAAATTCACAGGATTTGAGTTTGGTCCCAGATCATGCAAAATTAAAACGGGAGCAGACACCTGGGCTTAGGAAATGGGCTACTCTGTATGTGAAGACACTACGAGGTCAGAATTGTGCTGGAACCTCCTCAGTGTCCAACAGCGCGTGCGCTCTCCTGCCCCCCGCCCCATGCACAAAGGTGCTTTACGGAATGAGGCTCGGCTAGGCTTAGAGGCTCCCCGAGGTCAGTGAGCAGAGCTTTCCCCAGGTAACTGGCATGTGCCTTGGCCCTGCGTGGGTACTTCAAAACATTTGTGGAAAAATAGAGTTAAAAGACAATATGAATCTTTCCGTGAACTTTTTGAAGTACCCTTGTATTTGGCATCATGCTCCAAGTAGTGAGTTCATTGGCTCAGAACACCTGAGCTTATAGTCGAAACTCAAAACACTTTATAGATGCTATTTCACTATCCTTCTGGGATTTATTACATTTTGGTTGTTTATATACATACATTAGCTCCTCTAGTAGACTTTATTTATTATTTTTTTCATTAAATTTTTATTTTGTCAATATACAATGTATATGATTATTATGGCCCATCACCGACACCTCCCTCCCTCCTCCTCTCTCCTCTAGTAGACTTTAAACATCTTAACATAGGGCCTTATACATCTTTTATTTCCTCAGACCACTCAAAACAGCAGTTCACCTCATATATATAAAGAGAGGGAGATACAGATCTAGATCTAGATATATAGATATAGACACGTAATGCAAGCATGAATCCCAACTGGGAAATATCACACAGGAACCTGTAATTTTTCCCACGGATCCTGTCAGTCAATGTTAGGGCTCATGATTCTCAGCCCCCTGGGCAATGTGGTGATATTGCTGACCACATCCTTAAGTATAGGCTTGGTAAGTCCTCTTGATCCTCATCCTAAGAAACTTTCATCCCCAGTCATAATGTCATCTAGGGATGGGACAGAGCCTCCCTGCACACCTCACAATAAAAGGTGAGTACGTGCATTTGTCCATTCTGAGGCCACAGCACCTGCTCATAAGGAGCCAGGGATGCTCTTACCTGGAGTTCTACCCACTGATCTCTGAGTTCCTTGAGGGCCAGAGCAGTGTTTCATCCATCTTGGAATCCAGAGTCCAGTACAGTGGTGCTGACCCCAAGAAGGTGCTCAATACACAAAGGCTGAGTAGATGAAGTGGTTAGATTTTATCTCCAAGGTTGGGCTTCATCTATGAATAACAGGTGGGGTATAAGTTGGGCACCTCACCCCAAGGTCATGCCCTTATGTATTATTATAACATCTGCTCTAACAGCGAGAGTGTGCCAGGTTCTGTGCACCACACGCAAACATGGAGATCGGCCTCCACCCTAGGGGGGGAGAAGCAACATCTGTCTACAAACAGGGCGAAGGTGTGGGAGGGGCTGAAACAAATGGCGTGGGCAGGCACGTGGGAAGAAGACAGCAGCTCAGCCTCGCCTGGGGAGGTCAAGGGAGGCTCCTGGAGGAGGTAACTAGGCCTTGGAGGAGGCATAGGACTTCACCAGGGTGAGAGAGAAAGGTAAGGCATTTGAGGCAGGTGGAGCAACACGTGAAAGTGAAGAGGGGAGCTGAGATCTGAGGGTATTTTGTCCTAAGCAGAGCTCATGGTTTGTGGGGGGTGATGGGAGATGAGGCTGGAGAGGTGAACAAACGCAAGATCTTTAGACAATGGAGAATCCCTGAAGGGTTATAAGCTGGAAGGGACAAGACCAATTTTCTGTGTGACTAGATCATTCCAGCTACATTGGACTTAGGGATGGGTGGGCGGATGTGAAGCTAGAGGTGAGTACATCGTTTTGGGAGGCTAGTGCAGCTGTCCTTGAAGGGTCTGAACTCAGACAGTGGTAGAGGGGAAGAAGTGGAGGGGCCTGATACAAGAGGTATTTGGGGGCAGAATTGACAGGACTTAGCAAGCCCTTGGATGTGGATGTGGTGAGTGGTGTGCTGTGCTGAGGGCATAAAGATGTGGCAAGAGTCTAGATTTCACACTTGGGCTACTGGGTGGATTACCTGAGTGCCATGATTGAGTGGGAGAGTGAAAGACACTAACTGCGATGAAGAATATAGGAAGAGAAGCAAATGTGGGAGAAAAAAATGATGAGTCCAATTCCCAACACGTTGACTCTGAAGACCTATGGCCATGCCTAGAAGTTTTATCCAAGACCAGACTCAGGGTTGCGGCTAGAAGTTCTATCTGTGACACTGAAGCTCGGAACTGAGGCCAAGACTGGAAATAGAAACTCAAGAGCCATCAACGAGCAGGTGGGGTTATAGTCATGACTGTAGATGATTAGCCAGGAATATTCTTAGTGGAGAAGAGAAGAGGCTGAAGGCAGAGCCCTGCAAAAGGCCGGCATTTATGGAATGGGCTGGGGAAGGGGAGATGGAGAATGAATTGCTGAATAGGAGGTGAACCAAGGGAGAAGAGTGTCATGGAAACGGTGAGAGAATGTTTCAATAAGAAGGAGGTGGCCATGAAGTGTCACCTGCTGCAAGGACTGAAATCTACTGAGTCTGGCAATGAAAGTGGCCTTGGGGATCTTACGCAGATGATTTTAGTGAGTGCAATAACTTGGGGGAGGGAATGGAGATGAGGAAATGGAGGCAGTGAGTGTGGGTGTGAAGGGAAGGAGGGAGAGAGTGGGGTCAGCGGAAAGGTGGGTGCGTTGGTTTAAAATTGGAGATGTGTACATGACTGAGGGCTGGGAGGAGGAAGCCAAGTGAAAGGGAGATGTGATGAGAGATGGGAGGGAAGCAGAGCTACAGGGACTAGTCTCAGGCCAAAGGAACTTCATTGATATAAAGCATGGGATGGAGATGCTGCCCATTATCAGGTGGGGAATGGCCTTGGAGTGAGTAGCCTAGAATTTAATCCTTGCTAGGTGATTTAGTAGCTATGTGACCTTGACTTTTTACTTAACTTCTATGAGGCACAGTCTCCTCCTCTATAAAACAAATTATAGAATCAATCTTGCAGAATCCCTGTGAGAATTTGTGGGAGTGCATGATGTTAGATGGTGCTCATTAAGAGG